CATAGTCTTTGATTTGCTGGTTCCGTACTTCCTAATGCCTCCTCCTTGCTGAAGCAATCTTTCATGTTATGCAGCTCAAATATATTTGCCTGGGAGATATGACCAGAAAATGAAGGGCAATGTATGTATTTAGATCCTTGGTTACGATATAAGGTTGGAGCTGGGAACTGTCGAAACATCTTGCATTTTAATGTGGCTGAAGTTAGGTAATCTTTGATGCTGTTGAGTAATAGTTGAAGGTCGCATTATGATACATTTCTTGCCATTACTGTATCTAAATAAATGTGAAGAAGCCAGTAAACAATGCTCGTTTATAGATAGTTTTGTTTTGATTATGGTCTCTAAATCAACATGAAGAAGGTGTGGACGTTATGGTGCTTGATTTTTGGTTAGAATCATTTTGAAGTATCATTTCAGTTTTATTTGGTGGCATGGATGCTCGTCTCCTCTTCCATGCTTTTTGATTTTTATTCTTTTTATGGGTGCAATTTGCTTAAAGAAATGTGTGTTAAGATTACTTAATTGCGATTGACAACGTTGTTGTTATTCTAGTTTGGATACCAATGGGTAAAATTAACCGTAACTTTTAATATAAGATAGAGGTAAAAGTGAGGGTGGAATAGAATTTGATTATTAAGTAGATCACTTCCTTCATTCATTTATTCTCTAAAGGATATGAATATGACAAGAGAATTTGGACATATATATATATTCCTTCAAAATGAAAGCCCACCCAATTCTCCTGTGTGTTATCATCATAATGATTAGGTCAGCAGCATGTATGTAGTGTATATATATATCTCTAGTGAATACTTTTTTTATTAAATAATATAAAATTTTATTTTAGATTTATTATAATTGATATATTTTTATTTAAAAAATTATATGAATATATATATTTATAAAAAAATTATGTCAATGTATAAGATAAAAAGAATAAATTTTTATTTTTATTTTTATTTTTTAAAAAAGCTTGGGGGTGCTGGGATTACTGGTATCATCAATTAAATACTAGCTAGAATGAGATGATAGATTTAAAATATTTGGTGGATATGGGTACGGGAATGTATGTAATATAAAATTTTGAAGATAGTGATGAAGAATGTTTTTATTCAATCTCATACTTAGTTTTATTTACATTCATTAGAGTAAAATTAATCAATCAATCATAATGCAAAATTATATGAGATTTATTAAAATTTTATATGAAATTTATGCTTATAATTAGTGAATTTTTATATTTATCTTTATTATGATTGAAGAATTATAGTATTATAATAAAAAAAATATTGTATTTAATATATATATATATATATATATATATTCCCAAGCAATGAAGACTTTCATTCTAAACTCTTTTTGCGAAACTCCAAATATTCCATCATTTTATAGAGATATCGTTGCACTACAACATATTTTCAAGGAATGTACAAGTTACATGCCCTAATATAATATAATAAATTAGATAATTACACTTGTAGCCTAAAACTTGTGATTTTACAATTAAGTCCCAAAAACTTTCAAAACGAGGTTTTTGAGTCCTAAACGTTTGTGAGATTTTTAATTAAATACTTGTGTTAATTTGATTAGCTGATGTGTCATTTTTGTTCTTTATTTATTAAGTTTTCATAATTCTAATGTCATTTGGTTTTCATATTTATCCTTTTAGAATCTTTTTGTTATTTCTATTGAAGCTATATATATATATATATATATGTATAAATGTAAATAATTAGATTTTATTGCAAATAAAAGACAAAAAATAATAATGAAATTTATTGTTTAAAGCCCGTTTTCAATGAATTTGTTCTTAAGATTAAAAGTGGGTTCCCATCCTAGTGTTGCCATTGAAGTTGGTTTTCAACCAACAGTAGTATTAAGGCATTTTGAAATGCCTAGGACTCAATTGCAAAAGCATGCTAAGTATTAAGGTAAAAACTGTAATTATCCTGAAATGAATGCATGTCATCCCATTACTATTACCCTCACTAACATATATTTATCTCCCAAAATCAAGCAAATTAATGAATGCAACACGAATCCGAAAACTATGCCCAAAAACAGCAGCACCTCCAAAAGAAGAAAAAAAAAAAAAAGAAAAGAAAAAAATCAGGAAGTATTATAGTAGCTAAGATGGAGATCGCACCGTCCAATTAACACCCACCGAGGGGGGATGTGAGAAAAGAGACCAGCTTTATAAAAACAGATGGGTCCCTCAGCGTTTGCCTTGCAAAAGGAATATATTCATTTTAAAGAATAAATTCTGTAAGCACATAAAGATGCTTGAAATTCAAGCAAACATGGCCTTAAATACTAAGCCACCCAACTTTTTCTCTAGGCTATGGTTTTAACACATAATAATATAATGAACTAAAAGTTAAACCCAAACTTTGCTTCATGTTATTATAAAAGGAACAGCTATTGCACCATACCACTTTAAAGAAGATCATCTCCAAATCTAATTGAAATTCCCCCTTTTCTTACATATAGATAGTGACCAATTCTACATTATAGTAAGAAGCAAAAGGGTGGTGAAGGGAGATTTGATCCACATCATTTATTGTCTCAAACTAGCTTCACCGTATCTTGTTGGCATCCATCTATTGGTTTAACGTGAGCTCTTATATAAATGGATTTTTATTAATAATCTACATATAGATTTAGACGAGCATTTAAGTTAATGGCAGGTGTAAATTTCAATCCCTCTTTAAAGAGTTGGTTTGAATCTACATTAATCTCTACCAAATTATATTTAATAAAAGCACTTCGTGGAGGTAGGACCGATTGATCTTGACAAGGTCTAAATTGGAAAATCCAAACATGGGACTTCATGGTAGCTCTAATAGATGTAAGATTGGCATAACTTCACTGAAGATATAGAATTTATTTTGGTTTAAGAATCTTTCTTTTGATTGTCAAAGAAGAAAGCATTTATTCCCACTAGGATTTGGGTAAACACGATGCATTTTTTTTTCCTTTAGATTTTTATCATCTCCCACCACATTTGACGTCTTTGCATGGGCTTTAAATTTGGAGAGAGAGAGAGAGAGAGCTTTTTTTTTTTTTTTTTTTTAATTATTCATGGTCATCTTGATTTACTACTACTTTCTTTTACTATAGGTGTGGGGCCTTGTGTCAATTCGACCCATTGGCATTCAAGTGTAGTTTGTTTTATTTGGTTTGGATGGGAGCTGTGAAATGCATGGGAAGAACAATCTTCAGTTCCACAAAAGTGATAAGAAGGTGAGGCCCATCAAAGCTTTGGAAGAGGGACTGAGGGGTCCCCTACTCCTACTTGCTGTCATCAAAAGCTCCATTCTTTATGCATTGATGTTCACGTCCTCACATTATACCAACCACACACCCCAAAGCTATTGCTCCCTCATTATTATTATTATTATTATTATAAATAATACAATTGACGTGTAATTAGAAAGGATTTAGGGTTAGTTGATTTTTTTACAATAATATAATAGAGAGGTGAAATTAAACTGCATGTCTAATGGTTGACATGAGGCTGCTGCAAGTACATATATCTTCTGATGAATTGCATATGGGTCCAAATGGCTGCAAATTTAATAATATATATATATATATATTAATGATATATATATATATATATATATATATATATATAGATGAAATGGACTTCCAAAGTCAAATCGAATATATACAAAAGATTTGTTCTACTTAAAACTATATTTGCAGAGCACTACTAGAAAAGCCCAAGTACATGTATTAACACAGATTTGAATCACTTCAAATTGATGATCACTTCTACCCTAAGTTAAACTAATAATTAGATTAATTGTAATTGGGAATTAAGAAAAGTTTAAGAGTCTAAGATCTTAGATTGTTACATGCATGATGTTAGTATTACATTATTGTAATTGGAATTACAACTGCATGCCTTTTCAGTTCTTTGGATATTTTAGCAAAGGCAAAAGCAAAAGCAAAAGAAACAAAACACTAAAGATAATCAAATATTGATGAATATTATATAACTATGATTATAGTAATTGGTTATTGTGCATGATTGAAACTTTGGGTAAGTATCTGTTAATCATAAAATTTGCTGTCAAGAATGATGACAACCTTTTTCTTGGTAATGACATAAAGGATATATATCTTTGTTTTCCAAACCATCATAGCTTCGCCCTTACAGATTTTAAACTTCATTATAACCTAAAAAGGGAATTGTACTATAAAACCAAGAAAATGAGTCAAGTGTTTAGATATAGTTGACTCTCCAATCTCTATTAATGGAAGGGGAAGGGTCCAATGATTTTCTGGATGCCATCAGTTGTCCTATTGTAAAATTGAAAAAATAAAAACAGTTTTAATTTTAATAGCTCGACTGCTTTTAAAAGGATAATCAATTATTATATTCAATTTCATTGTTATTATTATATTTATATCAAAATATATATTTTTATTATTAATTTTAATTTTATCATTACAATATTCAATCTGATTACTAAATTATCCAATCTCACCATCATAATATTTTCAATATTTTTGAGATCAGTCTCAGCATCCGTAGAAATGGATCAAGAATAATTAACGAGAAATAAGTGCATGAGAATGGATTGATGAAAGAAGGGTAAAAGAGGAACATGATAAATATTGGTCATGATGATTGCATGAGGGGTCTCAGTCATATCCTAATACACTCAAAAAGCCATCACATGGTATAGAAGAATAACTCCACAAAGTTATACTCTTCTTTTGGTGATGACAAATGATAGATTACTCTCAGTCTCAGACATTGACAGTTATGTACATTCTAACAATATTTCTGTAAAACTTTCCCACTCATCTTTTCCTTGTTAAACAGTATGTCTGTCAGTCAGTGTAATGTAATTGTATTGTACATACGGTGATGATCCCATTTTTAGAGTTTTTTTTTTGCTAAAATACTTTAATATATTTTTTTGGTGTACGAAATAGAATAGTTTAGTATTATAAATTTTGCTTTTCTTTATGATGAAGAGAAACTTGTGGCTTATTCTTTCTAGTAGTAGTTGAAAAACAACCCAAACCCTCTCTTCTCTTCTTCAAAAACGCACCCTATTCCCCCCTATTTGCATCGCATTTGTTCTTGAATCTCTTTCGGTATTCTCAGAGAAAGAGAAAGTTGTGAGAGAATGTTCCAACCCAAGAAGCCCTCAACTATGAATTCCCATGATAGATCCATGTGTGTTCAAGGCGACTCTGGTCTTGTGCTCACCACAGACCCCAAGCCTCGCCTGCGTTGGACCGTCGAGCTTCATGAACGCTTTGTCGATGCTGTTACTCAGCTTGGAGGACCTGACAGTACGACAGCTTTATCTATTAATCCCAACCTGATTACTCCAATATTCATTTCTTGATAATATTCTTCATGTGTGATCAATATTTACTTGACTTTGACAGAGGCCACACCAAAAACAATCATGAGAGTTATGGGTGTGAAGGGTCTTACACTTTACCACCTCAAGAGCCATCTCCAGGTTTGAATACAATACAAACAACAATATCTCATCTCATGCTTGCTTTAGCTTTTTCTTCTAGCCCTTTTGTGACCAGCTTCTGGATGCATGTAGGGTTGGTTTGATTGATTTCACTTTTCTTTTCCTTTTTGCTTCTTTTGATTACAATAATTTTAATTCTTCTTGCTGGGTTAGAAATTCAGGCTTGGAAAGCAACCTCACAAGGAATTCAATGATCACTCTATAAAAGAAGGTAAGAGATCAGGTGGGCTCTTCTTTCTAGGGTTCAATCATTTATCAGCCCAAAACATATAATAAACTCTTTTGCTTTCAATTTATTACTACTATATATTCATGCATATATGTAACTAAATGCTTTCTTTTTGTTCCCTGTTTTCGTTCGAGCTTCGGCGCTAGATCTTCAAAGAAATGCTGCATCTTCCTCTGGCATGATGGCTCGTAGCATGAACGAGTACGTGTTGATTTAATTGTTGTTATAAGATTCGCAATTTCATGAATTTTAATACATATATACAGAGAGAGATAATATATAAGAGAAAGAAATCACTTAACAGCTGTAACTCACACATGGTTTGATGGGATTAGGATGCAAATGGAAGTGCAGAGAAGACTTCATGAGCAATTGGAGGTATGCAAGGATTCTTCTCACCTCAACAGATCATACTCAATTTCTTGCTTGTTCACAACATCGATACATAGGAATAATATATTACTTTCTATGGATAAATCGTTGATGGACTTATATGCCTGGCAGGTGCAAAGACACCTTCAATTGAGGATTGAGGCTCAAGGCAAGTATATGCAGTCCATTTTGGAAAAGGCTTGTCAAACCCTAGCTGGCGAAAACTTGGCTGCAGGAGGCTATAAGGGTATAGGAAATCAAGACATGGGAGCTATGAAAGATTTCGGTCCTCTCAACTTCCCACCATTCCAAGACCTCAATATTTATGGAGGTGATCAACTTGATCTTCAACACAACATGGACAGACCGTCACTTGATGGTTTCATGCCCAATAATGATAACATTTGCCTTGGAAAGAAGAGGCCTAGCCCTTATGGTGGTAGCGGGAAGAGTCCTTTGATGTGGTCTGATGAGCTCCGTCTGCAGGACTTGGGAACAGCTCCATCATGTCTAGGACCTCAAGATGATCCTTTCAAAACTGACATTGCACCGCCTTCTATTGATATAAATACTGATTTGGATTCTATATCAGAGATTTACGAAGCAAAGCCGGTGCTATCCAGCGATGGCATGGGTGAAAAGAAGTTTGAAGCATCGCCTAAGCTGGAAAGGCCACCGTCAAGAAGAGCAGCAGTTCAGACAGAGAGGATGAACCCTATGATAAATAGTGGTAGTGTGGCGCAAGGGAGAAATTCACCATTTGGATGATCAGTTGCTAACAGTTGACTTATTAGATCGTAAGTGACTTAAGATCTTATGAATTATGCTCTGATATTTTCATTAGGGTTTTAGAAAATTATAATTACTATAGGGTTTTGTCTTAGATATATGATAATGCATGCCATGCATATATATATATATATATATGTATGCAGTGCAATCTTTATTAGTTAAACTTAATTGTTATGAGTTTAGTACATCAATTTGTACTTCCCCATGATCCTTAATATTATATGGCATTGATAATTTCTACTATATATTATGGAGCTTCATAGTTTCTCTATCCTATATAGCACTGTTTTTATGTGTGCCAAGCATATTTTTCACTTTGGAAATATACATTCATACATAGATATACATAAACACACACATAAATGCTTCCTTTGACCCATTTTCTTTATTTATTTTGTGTTTTGGATGTTCGGAAACTATGTTGTCTTTACTTGAACACCTAATTTTTTTTTATTATTTTGAATTTATTTCTTGTAATTCTTTTATACTTTTGATATAAAAATTTTGAAACATCAATTTTATTAAAAGTTTAATAAAAAATACACTAAAAGTATAAATTTGGTTGATCTCCATGAAAATAAAATAAGGGCAAGCAACTAGGACGTTGGTATAATTAAATATATACTAGTTCCCTTAACCAATTTTAAGTCAAATTAACTCATTAATTGATTTTTCTTATAATCTTCAATGCTCTCAATACAATAAATATGAATTTGCTACTTGTCAAATCGTTGGTAGTGTTTGTAGGGGAAAATTGCATGCTTTAATCAATTTTGTATCTATCATCTTTGCATGAATGTCAAAATTTGAATTAATGATCTCAAATCTTTTATTTGGCTGATTTGTGATAGAAGCTAGGGATTTTAACTCAACTGTTTAAGGAAGAAGATAAATGTAGATCATAATTGAATAAAATGTCCAAGTGCATGATCTCAAATCTCTTAAAGAATACAAGATGCTGGCAAAAAAGTAATTGATTATTGGCATTTGCATATCATTCTTGATGTTAATTCGCCTTTATGGTGCACCATAAAACACATGGGTTCAAGTTCTTCCATGTGCTTGAAAGAAACTATCATATATTTAAGGTTTAGAAAGTGAAGATGGGAGAGGGAGAGGGAAATAGTTTTCAGGTTTTAATTAACAAGTTAGGATGTAAGATGACGTAATAATTGGATTACCAAATAAAGAGTCAGATAAAAAAGTGTTGTTTCCATATACAGGATTTGAATGTGGATAAAACTAATTAACAATTCAGTTGTTGTGATGGTCACGTTTGGTCAATGTCCGTCATGTCTTCTGGATTCCAGGTTACTATGAAGTAAACTTTTAAAACCCTTGCTTTTATTCCAGGTTACTATGAAGTATACTTTTAAAACCCTTGCTTTTAGGTTAGTTATTTCCTATCAGTGCAGACAAAATCATGGGGAAGAACAACACTAATTAAACAAATAAAACAGAAGCCATTAAAGCAAAAGATGAAGGGTTTGGGAGGACATGCCGCTGTAAAAGCAGATAAATCATTGGGAATAATATATAATTAAGCTCATTTTCTTTACATAGGCCGGAAACTCCTTTTCTTAATTTGTTTCCCAAGGTTAGAAACCGACACCAAGTATATATCTTTTGAGCCTTTTTTTTAGCACTCCTTATTCGTCACATTAAATAGCTACTACACAACACCATACCCATAGGTAGATAGGATACAAATATAATCTCTCTCTCTCTCTCTCTATATATATATATATATTATTTTATTTTAATTTAACTCAAAATTTTCCATCACTAGTGATGGTACTATATTTTGTTAATTATAAGATGGAGAGTTGCTATTTTGATGCGCTTTGGATATATAATTTTACAAACCGCCAAGTAAATAACTATATATATATATATATTGATATTTATTATTAAAACTAATTTATTGACAATCTATACTCCATAGTACGCATATATAAGGTTGCTGTAGAGATCCTATATTCCAATCATAATCATTTATAATGATTTGGAAAACGTTATATACACTCTTAGAAAATATATAATACATTTTTAATTAAAAAACCCCCATCGTCTCCTTCTAAAATTTCAAAATCTACTTTTAACCTTAAAAATTGTTTTTAAAGAGTATATGTAGCACTACCCTAATAATTTTCACAAAGACATAATTTTTTTGTATGCATCTATATATTTATGATGAATGGTCATATATATGCAGCATAGAGGTGTTTCTTTGTTGAGGATATAGAAAAAGATGGTGGTGCCACTTACCTTTATTGGTTGCAGAGAAAATTTAGGGGACTCCAAGTTGTCAAAAAAGCTCCTCGTCTCCAATACATACCTATATACTAAAACCCACATAAATTAAGAGAGAGAAAGAAACAGAGAAAAAAAAGCTAGTAAAGCCTAAAAGAGAGGAGAGGAAGAATAAACGCAGTCCCACGAGTGCACATTTCGAGGAAGCTTCTATCTTTATAATGTGCATAAAATAAAGTTAAAAGTTTATGCATCTACCCACTTTTTTTTTCTTCCTTATATGTGTTTATTAATTGCATTTGCAATTGCAATTTCATCCCATGCATAACACTCATGAATTAATTAATTATGACTTATATATTCAGGGAAGCTAATTGTTTTGCTGGTTATTTAGCAAAGATATTATTTTTTGATCCATGCCTGCATACAGACTATGTTGCTAATAAAATCTTTCTTTCAATGAGAAAACAAAAAAAAAAGAAAGATGGTATAGTTGGAGGCACGTTCTTCCATACAATTATATAGCATTTGCATCACTCTCTCTGTATAAAGCACTTTGGATTCTGTTTGCTTACTCATTTCACAGCTTTAGGTTAATCGTGCATTTCCTGAATTTTCTCTACAAATAAGTACAAAACCATTCCAAAGCTTCTTAATTATGTCTCCCTATCAATCTCACTTTATAAATTAATTATACAATGCAACCTGTTAATAAACAAAACATATATTTTCGTAAAATTTTAAAATAAATACACAAAAAATTCTCATTAATAAAGTAACATATGATTTAGTATAAAATTTATATATTGATTGTACATCAAATATAAATTTATTATTTTTTTATAGAGTTATGACGAGATCCTTACACGATAGTCCATATATATACACACGATGAGACCTTTACATGATATTGCTATCCATATATGACAAAACCTGTACGTGGCGATTCAATTCATATATGGTGACTTCACTATATTATTAGAAATGTTTTCAAAATAATGAAAGATTGTTGATTAAGTAGTTACTTAATCAAGGTATTGACAAATAATAAAGTCAAGATTAAGCTTCCGAAAGGATCCAAAACTAATTAAACGAATTCAAGACATAAAAGAATCAATAGATGAAGACTACCTAAGGGAGCAATTGACTACGCATACTAAGGCAGTCGAATGCCATGGCTTCTAGGGAAAAGAAAATGTTTTTGTTAAGGTAACGAACTTAGGCAGTCGGATGCCCAGCTGAGGGCAGTTGACTGCTTTGAATAAGTCTTCTGTTTCAAGAATACATTAAGGTAGTTGAATGTCAGTGTAAGACATCCGCCTGTCTTAATGACAAAAGCGTTTGGGAACCTAAGATGTTCATGTATGATATTTGACTGTCCTAGTCCAAAAGTTATAATTTTTTAAATATGAAAACTTGGAATGAGATATAATCTTTCAAAAAATAATTTTTCACTTGTAAAAGGTGAATAATTATAACTATATTATTAAAAAAGAAGTGTTCTTAATAAAAGACAAGATTGTTGGTTGAATCAACACCATTAAAAGGTCACTAATTGATAATCTGTAAGTGCACAAAATTAGAACAAGTAATATATGATGAGTAGAGTATCGTTTTTACGGAAATTGAAATATATGAAAGAGAATTAAGTATTAAAATTGTTCACCTTTAATTATATCGAGAGCAGAGCTTAAAGAGCATAAATTGCATGAATTAAAAGCATTTAAAGAGAAAAAATGCAAATTGAATTGAATTGAAAGCAAGAATAGAAATTTAAGAAAGCTTAAATTAAATTGAAAGCAAAACAAAACTTAAATTAAAAAACTGAAATTGAACTTTCCATAAACTTAAAATAACTTAAAAAACTTAAAGACATGAAAAGCGAAAAATAAGAAAACTTAAAGAAGATAACATTGGGCTATCACCCCAAACCCTACTTCAGTTTTTCTCTAAACAAATGATAGCTATTTATAGAACAAGAATACAAAGAATCCTGAAATCAATTGGTCTTAGATCAAATTCTTAGATTTTGGACTTATGCTCCTAGTTGAAAAATTCTTGTAGACAAGAAGTAAAATTTTGAGTTGTGTTCTCCTCATGTGTTGCCTCCTTTTTTCTAGTGCTTTTTTTATCTTTATGAAAATCCTACCATTGGTAGGAATACCCATTCAAATAGGATTTCCTAGTCAACTTAGGAAAAACGTCTTTAAATAGGATAACTAAGTGCATCCTATTGTAATGCGTAGGCTTGAGAACCCAACAGTCGGACTTGGGGATAAAGAAAAATAAGCTAAAAAACATTTTTGATAAAAATAAAAAACAAAGAGTCACCACCAATTTTTTTAGGGTGTGATTGGCAACCCAAAAATTTTATCCTTTTGATAAAACATTTAAAATGGGTTTGATGTTTTATAAAAGAACAATTTCTGGTATGTTAAAATAAAGTTTAGGTTTGAGAGTTGATTACACGTGAGAAAAGATTAGCACCCTCGCAACGCTCATCGAAAATGATACCAATTGATTGCATGTCATCATTTGATTTTCGTAAAAATGGTCTTATTCTAATATTTAATAATTGATTCCTTTATTTTTCAAAACTTGAATTTTTTTTGAAAGCAAATCAATTTTTTCTTTTGGAAAGAAAGCATTTTGTTTTTGAATCATGGCAAAAATGTCTTTTGAGATACTTCTTTCATTCTCCTATATTTAGGTAGAGCTTTAAAAGCATCTCTAACTTAAGAGTTTTCAAATTACCTTACAAAACCAAGATAACACCTCACATAAATGATAACCATCAAGAGTCCTTCTATATTTAGGTTAGATCTTAAAAGTTATTTTTAAAGTTATTTTTACTTGAGATGTCATATTATTTAAAAATATTTTTTTTGAAAACTCATTTTTGAAAACATATACATGGTATGTATGAACATGATAATAATATGGATCTATAACAATTGAGTATGAATGACAAAATATGAATG